CTTCGGCTAACCTGCATAGAAAAGAACGGTGAATACAATGATTGAAAAATCGTGTGAAACGGGAAGCGTGAGGGAGCTCATCAAAAAGAATTTTTGGGTTTTGGCCACGGCGGCTCAGCCGGGGCTTTGCTCGTAATTTTTGGCTCACTCGTCATCCTTTTTGCTCCGATTTTGCTACAATGGTGCTCAGAATCGAATTTCGAGCGAATAAGGAGAATTTTTACATTTTTTAGCGGCTGACAGTAGCTCCAGTGCGATAGTAGTTGGTAGTCAGCCTCATTTTCCGGCGTCTGGTTCTTCTTCTCCGACAGGGGCTGGTGGCTAGGGTTTTGGGTTCCCATGCGACACGAAGTATTTATACCCATCCCGCATTGATTTGGCCTATTCATCACGATTGATCTTGTACGTCCAATCGCGCCTAATGAGGAAACGAATCTGAACCATTTATCGTGATTGATTTCGTTCGTCTTATCACATCTAAGGAGGGAACGAATTTGAGCCGTCCACGCACGCAGGATCGTTCCTGGGTTGTCCGATCACTTGGCATGTGGATTGCCCGCGTGGCACCAATGTCATCATGTCTTGCCACACGGCGTGCTCTGCTTCGTTAAAGCTGCTGACTATGTCGTTCTACATGGTTGAATTTTTTCTTTTTGTATTTTGACATACTGTTTCTAATTTTTCTTTTAAAAATACTATCCGAACCCAAATTTTTAGATTTTTTTCGTAAAATTATTTTTTATTACATCCCTAACCTTTTTTTATTAAATTAACAAAATTAAATTATAAATAAATTTTTTATTTATTTTTAAATTATCAAAATTGATCCCGAACTAAATTTCGGACCCAAATTTTTCACCTGGTGGTCTATAGATATATCTTCTTACTCGTGAACCTAATATTTAAATTTGTCAATTTACCTAGCTGTCCCCATACCCCATACGATAATAGGCGCTAAATACATTATTGCCTCGATATCTTGTCCGATATAAAGGTGAATCATATATCCTAACTCTTCTGGTATGAGACTTCTCAACTCCGTTCAGTTGAGATAATGTCGACAGTATAATTTTTTTTGTGTACCGAATCTGTCTACCATTTCCTATGGTACTTATTAAACTTTTCATATATAAATTTCCATCATCAAATAATTACCAATCGCACACCAACATTTTATTTCATATTCACATATCAATCAAACAACATTTAAGCAAACAATACAATTTTATACCTTAACAATTAAGAAACGAATCGGAGTTTTTACCTCAAATCGGGATCTTTATTTTATATATATATAATAAATTAAATTATAATATTTAAATAAATAAATTAAATTTGACTTTAATGAATATATTATATTTTAAAGTTATATTAATATTTTAGATGGCATAATTTCCTTAAATAGGACAAGTATTGCAGATTAAAATGGATTTAGCGGGTTAACTTACCGCCTTTGGTTGTGTGCGCTACCAAAAGCGTAATTTTCAAGATATATGTCACATAATATAATATAATATATATATATATATATTAGAACGAAGATATTTTGTCCAATTTTATTTAAAATATATATATATACATATACCAACTAATAATTGTTGTATAAATCATTTATTGTCAACCAACCCGACTTGGTTCTGAACGGGTATTTTTCTATTTTTTTATAAAAACGAACATGAATTGTTTTCTAATAAATTTTTCCATATTTATTTTTCATAAATTATAAAATGTCAAATACTAAAATTATGTTTATTTAAAATAAATCATTTACACCAAATTTCAAATATTCACACAAAACTTGCCATGGCATTAAATCGAACCCTTATAATTAATATTCTGTCCAAATTCTTTTTCTCACGTCGCGAATAATCATTAATTTACTTTTCTATTTACATATATACACAAATACGTACATACCTATGTGTGTGTGTGTGTGTATATATATATAGCTATAGCTATCATTCTTCATCCATTTTGATATAATATAATAAATTAAATACCCACCACCGAAAAAAAAGATAAAGAGGAAATGATCATAATAATGCTATCATTCAAGGTGACTCGATCAAGTAAAGGTAGTTCAAATGGGAAAATATCATCCTCTCTTATAATTTTTTTAAATAAATAAAAATTTAATAAACTAAAATATGTCATTTAAATAAAATATAATTATATTGTGTTAAAAATGTAGTTGACTGCAAGG